TTGCTGCAGTGCCAATTGTGGTTTTTGGGAATGGGTTGTCAAAGAAAAGTCAAGCGATCAATCCTCTAGCGACACGAATGTCTCAGTTAATGATGCGGCAAATGAAAGAGTAGACGATATATCACGCACGTTTCAATCTCGCATTTGCCTCAATGATGAAGTAGATCTTCTGATTTTGATGAACGTGATGATATGCAAGGCAGAAGGCAGTGTAGAGTCGAATGCACGGGGGAAGGGGTCGACTTGATTAGTAGTTATGAGTCGAATGAGTTATTACATGCACTTTTGTATGTGTAGGATTATTATGACTGAATCTATTTAAACTATTCGAATGTCAATGGGTACATTGCATATTTTGTAGCCTTGCATGTATGATGTTGACTTAAGTTCACTACCCCTGGCCGGATTATTTGTTGGTAGCCTAGTGTCAATATTGTGGCGCATATGTGATGAAAAGTGCAACTTCCAAGTATACTTGTATTGAAATCTTGGTCTACATAATTACGTGTATTTTTCATTTACATTCCTGATAGAGAAAATTAGTGAAGTCAAAATTACTTATTGCCTTAAATTAGGATACCAGGACAAAAGTAGTGAAGTCAAAATTTCTGGCTGCTTGAATTTGTCTTCTGTATTTTTGTAGGAAAAGAATTTAAGATTGTTGAACATGGTACCCTGAACTAAAGACTTCACTTTAGTGTTTTTGATTGTCATTGGGTAGCACAAAGACTTCACTCACATGTTTTTATGAGGGGTGACGTACACTGTTGGCAAGAATAATTTGCAAGACCTTGCCATCAAGGATATACAAGCTGAGTTTTTAGTCTATGATCAAGATTACAATTGAAACCACGATGCCCAATTGTACGCTTTTGTAAGTTATTCACTTATGAGAAAAAAATCACTTTTTTTTATTAACAATAATAGAAAAATTAATTATTACTTTAGCTTAATAAAAATATTTTTCTGTTATTGTAACTTAATAAAAACCACTTTTTTGTTTTTTTGTTTTTTTTTTTTGTTCGGCCCATCTGATCACTTGGTTTATGGGGAGCGGATGCAAAGTTGTTGGATCATTTTTGTTCTTCTTTGGTGATCTTATTTATGTATGTTTTCAAGTATCATTCCCATTGAAATCATACCCACGTGGCAACATTTTCTCACAACCCTGCAAAGCAACATTAAAAAATACTCTAAGATAGGATATAAGTCACTACCAGCATTGACTTTTCACATATTTCTCCGCATGTAATAGAAGGGAACAACTCAGCAACATTTAAAAAAATGAAAAAATAAAAAGACCAATGACTTCTTTTATAGTAAGATTCTCCCTCAACATGTCATGCTCCACGCTATTAAAGTTTTCACAATTTCATCATTTATTAAAAATGGAAAACTAGCATTTGCATCACAATATTAAAACTAAAATATTCTCTTTCCTCACCACTTTAAGCATTCAAGGTTACACAATATAATCTCCAAAGAAGTTGCTGAAATCCTAATAAATATAAACGATAAGAAATTGAGATCCCTCTTTGAGACGAAATAGATAATAAGTAAACTTTTGATGCCCAACTTTCTTGTATCTCAAAGCCACTAACATCAATTGCCCAACATCAATTGTCGGTTGGAGGCCATCAGATTCCAGTGTTACCTATGCAGGAGACCAGAAATCTTTCATAAGTAAATATATGAATAAGAAAAACTTAGAATCATGATCATATAATTTGACAAACTAAAAGTATTCCCAAAGAAAAATTCCTCAACAGAAACATAACCATTCCAAGATTTTCTTTTCTTCCACAATTAAGACCTTAAAAAAAACCTTGGCATCATCACCTATTTATCTAACTGACCTTCAAAAAAATAGTTGAAAGCCCAAACCTTTATCATTATCCAATTGACCCTCACTTGCCTGAACCACATTAGTCTGGTAAATGCGAAAAGTAGTATGGCATTACTTGACCTATAATACATTGAGAACATTGATAGCTGCATGCATGAAAGAAATATACATCGGAAGTTGAAATGTCATACTTTGTTCTTACCTTGTGAACTATACATAATGTTTGTTGATGAAGGAGGGACGAAAATTGAAGACGGCGGCACACCTGAAAGGGAGAATGGTGTCGTGATGGAATATTGTGTTAAGGGGAATTCGCTGGCCTGGGGTACTGTAAATATGAGGTCGGCGTCTATACGAAATGTTGTTGTGTTTGAGCATGCTGACTGTCGACCACACTCTCAGCCGTATCCCTTTGCCTCGTGCTTGGTCGCTTTCCTTTGTTTGGTGCCGAGCTTCCAGACATTTGAATTTCAGAGTCTAGGCTTCGAACATACCTTGCCTTTCTTCGAACTCGACTCCAACGGACCTTTCTCCGAAGTTTCTTAGGGGCCCCTTTTGTGCGTGACGCCACTGGATCACGTATAGTCACGCTATCATGATGTTGAAAATCAGTGCATTGGTCCATAATTTCAAAAGAATTTTTGGATATAGCATTGCTTCATGTACCCGACTTCTTAGACATCATGAGGTCTTGACGTTGAAGTTTTATCCATTCTATAATCACACGTGCTCAACCTTCATCGTCTATCGCGAGGTCCACTACTTTTTTAAAAGCACGACACATGTCGCCGTACCTCAACTGCTCAAGAGTACTAACCAAACCGTCATAATTGACTGCGATCCTAGTGTGTGCTCTATTAACGTCTTTCATCCACCTCCGCGGTATGTACCTCTCAAAAAGTAATATGATGTCACAACGAATCAATACTGCAATAGCATGCCGACAAATTATCCCCCTAAACTCGAACAAATGGCAGCTGCAAAGAATATCACAATTTTGTCTATCAAATGAGATGACGAATGTTTTCTTCCTCCGTGCCCCGCTGCCATAATGTCCTGCTGAACCTCATACATCGTCCCTGAGGGTCCTTCCGAAGTAACGATGAGGTTGCAGTAGACCTTTCCCATAAACTCAGCCTGAGCCTCCTTGAATTTAGAAATAGTGTAAACTGATTGAAACTGCTGCTCCATTTCATAATCTGTAGCACACGGTAATGTTTGCGCAAATGACTTGAAATTAGCTTGGAACTCCTTCTCAACTTTACTGCACAGTGCTCGCTCATACTGTTCGATGAATTGCTTCAATGACGTCTTCGAATGCACATACCCATCAAAGAATGCATTTATACTCTCGCTTCTCTGTGTCGTTGACATCCCTGCCCAAAAACTAGTCTTCAGAAAACAAAGAACCCAGCAACCTTTGTTTGCATACAGTCCGGACAACCAATCGTTATCATGCAAGCTGTAAGTATCAATCATCGAAGTCTAACCTTCTTCGAACTCCTGGACAAACTGTGAATCGTATACCAATCCGTGTATCGCTCCAAATATTGATGCCTTGTTTTCGTGGTGTCCAAACTTCTCAGGTAACTTTTTTAGAATGTGCCACAAACACCATCTATGTCTTGTGTTCAGAAAAACTATCTGAATTGCATTTTGCATTGCCCTGTTCTGATCGGTAGTTATCCCCTACGGTGCTTGTCCATGCATACATTGGAGCCTTGTTCTAAACAACCACACAAAAATTTCCGTGTCTTCATTCGATACCAATCCACAACCCAACAGTGTGGATTGTCTGTGATGATTAACGTCAACAAAAGGGGCGAAAGACATATCATACTTGTTTGTCAAGTAAGTGGCATCAAATGTAACAATATCGTCGAATTCCTTATACGCTTGTCTACAATGATTATCTGCCCAAAATATGTTCTTCAATCGGGAATCATCGTCCAGATCCATACTAAAGAAAAAGCCCGAGCACTGTGCTTGCATTTTTTAAAAGTATGTTTGTATTGAGGCGGCGTCCCTTTCCCCAAGTCTTAATCGTCTCATTTTTTCAATGTAATTTCGACAATCCTTTTCCACGCAACTCATGTTCTCATAACCACCTGCTTCTACAACAGCTGAATTGTAACTTTTATGCAATGGAATTCATGCAAAATCATTAACTTGTAGCTTACGCTTCACGTGTGCACTCAATTCACTATTGCAGCGAAATAATCTGGACTTCGAAGGGCTAGTTTCATGATTGTGGTCAAGGTTGACACTATTAAGTATTCAAACACCATAAATATCTACAGAAGCAAAGATTCTCACTTTACAACCCATCCGTATTGTTTGTTGCAGCTTCGAAGATCCGTCTGTATTTTCGTTTCTTCGACATTCTCGACTACATGTCACTGTCACATATCTCAACTCTCCATCGTCTCCCCTTTTCGAATTTCTTTTCTTAATCGGAAAACTAACAGCGTAGGCATATTTTTTGTACATGCCAAACATATCTTTCAAAATTTTAAACTCCATACCCACCTCCAACACTATCAAACTATCTCCTAAAGAGGTTTCACCTTCCACTATGTTAGCGGAGTCCATACCATTCTCATGGTCAGATGCCGCCAAAATACCATCATGTTCACCTTGCACTTCATCCATAATTTCTTCCCCTGCAATATGATAAGATATCACACGTTCAATAATCCACAATAACAATATTATAAGGTTATTCTCAATCACATTTTTCACTTCCACAAAGTGCCTTTACTTGTCCTATAATTTCAATATAATTGCAATCTATTACATAGCTCATTTGATACATTAACCGGTGTTTAAAATGGTCCATAATAAACTAGAATTGCCCACAAACTCAGTTAAGTTATAAGGTTGCAGTGCTTCAGAATGATAAATAATTAATGCCTTATTGGTCCTAAAATTGTTGCATTTTTCCCCAAACTGTTAACCATTCACGTCATTCCCACTACTGGGCAAATTTGGGAGGGTTACTGCATATTAATTGAACATTCAATGCCATTTGTCTGGTTAAATTGGTGCACATTAATGTCAACCCCACAAGCCATAATAGCAATAAAAGACCCTACTAATTAAAGAAGCGAAACTGAAGAAACTTACTAATTAACTGTTGGAAAACATAGACACAATGGCTCGCTCCGATGGCGAAGACAAAGAAATCGGGTTTCGACTAATTCTTCAGTTGGCTGGCCGGATTTCTGAACGTGACGATATCGATGTCTTACAATGGAACAAAGATTATTTGCTTGGAACAAAGATTTCTGAACCGGTTTGTAAATCGCTTTGTTCTTCTCGGCTTCTTTGCTCAAAACGGAAGAAGATGATGCCGACTGAGTTTGGGGAAAATTGGTGTAAATGGCCAAAATAATTAATTAAGAAATTTTCTCTCTCCCACGTTCCCTTTGGAATGAAAATTATTAATTAATGCTTGTATTTCTCAGTCCCACGTGCAGCTTCCCTTTTCCCTCCAAAAACGTCATTTTACACGGTGAAAATTTTAAAAATCCCTATCAACAGAGTGTCATTCACCCTGTTTGACAAGATTATTTGCAACATGGTAACAAGCCAAATACAGTGCTTAACAATAGTACAAGGTTAATGACCACAACTACAACATTAACTTGATTATCAAGTGAGATATGTCATCATCCCTTGTTATTGTGTCCGAACTCTTTGTCAAAGTCTTGTTTCGCTTAAAAAAAAGTTCAATCAATTGAGCTCCTAGTTTCTTTTGACATAAATAAAACATATAAACGAAAAAAAAAAGTTAGTACAAGTTTTTAAAAAGGAGAAACAAAGTTTTCAAATTGATTCTAGAAATTTTTGACGTATTACGAACACTTTTTTCTCAAACCCATATTAATAGTTTTTTGAAAGGTGTTTAATCAACTCGCCAAAATATCAAATATTCTAAGGTATAAGACAAGATGTCGAATAATTGAGACTGCATCTTATGAAATTAAACTTGATTTTTATGTTTAAAATTAAAAATAAAAAAATAAAAAATTGTTGGCAGATTACAATGTTGTAACATCTTTTCAAAAACATCTTAAATTTGGAATAAGAGCTCCCTACCTTCACCCGTTGTAAATACACCTTGACCAAGAAACTAAAACATATCAACTCCAGGCTGAAGACATTATTACCTGCAATAGCATCATATTCCATTAGACTATCATTTCTTGTGTATCTGGCCATGTTCATAACTTCAGAAGCAGAACTTGTGCAGCCTAGAGAAACCAAGTTGACGCTATATTTTCAAGATTATTCGGGTGGGCCTAATGCCATTGTAGTACAGGTTACGAGTCAACCCAATGACCTTCTTAGCTTCACCAAATTTGGAGCCATCGTCTGCACCGACGACCCAATAACCTAAGGAGTTGATCCGTCTCCGGCAGAGATTGCACGGGCCCAAGGTTTGTAAGTGACCTCGGCTTTAGATGGATCGAGTATATTAAGGCTTGGGTTTTCATCTTAAAAAGTCAACATTATTAAGATGAATAGTCTAACCCTTATAAATTGGTCTTTATTCAATGTGGGATTATATCCCTTGACACGTCCCCCAAGATGGTGGCTCGTTTGAACATACCAATCTTGAAATCCACATGTTCATTTTTTTTAGTCTTAATCGGATTGAATCGCTCGTTTGAACTTAATGGGTTCTGATACCATGTCAAGGCTCGTGTTTTCATCTTAAAAAGTCAACCTTGTTAAGAGGAGTAGCTTAACCTTTATAAATTGATCTATATTTTCATCTTTATTCAATGTGGAATTATATCCCTTAACAGAATACACGTGTCCTAATATCGATTGTCTTCACAAATGAGGAGTACAAAGGTAGCACTTTTGAAATACAAGGAAGCAGTGCTCAATTTGAGAGGGTTAAAGAAGTAGCCAGAGTTGGTGGCACCGGAATATTCCGTCTCGCAAGCAGTTACTCGACTTTTGAGATGATTCATTATGATGCGACAACTTACTATGCAGTTATTCAATGCAATGTTACTATATTACACTATTGAGAGGGCACCGAGATTTTTTCTCGCACTTCAATACCATATTGGTAACTTGATCGTAGTATATTATGGTATCAAAATAAAATGTTTCTAAAATTTTATTCATTATAATGTTAATTTGCTTATCAAACTTGATAGGTCAACTTTATTTCTTTATTGAGTACATGTTTGGTTTAACTTAAAAGTTATATTAAAATCTAAATCAAAATTCACAGTTAATATTAATCATACATTTTATGAGATTCATAACTTTTTAACCATAAATTTCATCTACTTCAATCAAGATATATTAAAAATCTTATTTTTATTCAAACCAATCCAGAGCTAAATAAATTTTATTGAAGTAGCACGGAGTTCAAAACCACAAGAAGAGGAAATCTAAGAGCTAAATTTCTTTATTTATCCATTATTCTCGGGTAATTAGCAAAAAATATCCCTATTGTTTGTACTTATTTCGAAAATGGTCCCTATCGTTTTGAACTTGCTATATACACCCTCATTTTAAACCTTTCTTACAAAATTGGTCCTTTCCGTCATATTCTGTTATATACGTGTAATTTAAGGCAAAATGCCCTTATCGTTTGCTTTAATTGTACAAATACTTCCTATCATTTCAATTTTGATATTTGAACACTCAAATTGACATTTCTTTTGTTTAAAAGGTCCTTATCGTCCATTTTTCCCATTATAACATTATAAAATGATTAATTTATCATCATTTTTAAATAACTAAATAGAAAATAGAGATAATATAAACAAATTGTATCTAAAGTTTCTAATTCTTTTAAAAAGTACAAACGAGTCTCAGGAAAATAATTTGAAACATTCTAACAAACAAAAACATTTCATCTTCCCAATTAACCCTCATATCCTACGCCCATCCCCTACACAGCTACACTCCACCATCACCACTGTAAAATTAATTAAAGAGATAATTAACAATATAATAAAAGTAAAAATAGAAAGAGAATTATAAAAACAAAATGGTGTTTATTCCTCATCAAATTTTTTTTTATACTTTTAATTATTTTGGTGGTGGTGGTGGTGGTGGTGGAGGAGGATAGGTGTACGGGTAGGGGCAAGTGGGTTATTTGGGAATATAAAATATTTTTTTATTAGAATGTTTTAAATTTTTTTATGTGAGGTTTGTTTGTAATTTAAAAAAAAAAAAAAGAAACTCTAGATACAATTTTTTTATATTATTTCTTTTTTCTATTTGTTTATTTAAAGATGATGATAGATTAGTCATTTCATAATGGAAAAAAAATGGATGCAAGAACCTTTTAAGTAAAAAAAATGTCGATCTGAATATCCAAATGTCAAAATTAAAATGATAGGAACTATTTGCACAATTACAACAAACAATAGGGACCTTTTACATTAAATTACACATATTTAATGGAATATGACGGAAAGGACAAATTCTGCAATAAAGGTTTGAAATGAGGATGTAAATAGCAAGTTCAAAACAATAGGGACCATTTTCGCAATGAGTACAAACGATAGGAATGTTTTTTGCTAATATTTATTTATTTATTTATTTATTTTTGCTTTTTACTTTTCTTCTTTTTCTGTTCTAATTATGAAAGAATTTTCATCTGTTAAGACCAATGGCGCTAAAAATATTCATAGTATAAGAAGAAGATCAATAGAATTGCAACAAGTATGAAAAGAGGTGCAATTTTTCTTTATATATATGTGTCTGTGTACCCTCTGGAGACTAAATGCCAGTGAGGATAATCAAAATTTAAATTTTCTCTCCAAACCTCACTAATTATTTTTTTCATTCGAAGTGTAAACATAGCGTGCTGCTTTACGATAATTTATTTGTCCCAACAATATTATACGAATTCAGAAGGCCATTTTAATTCGCCATTAATAGTGTTAGTTCCATAGGTCATAAAAAATATTCATAAAATTATTGCTAAATCACGTGCAAATTACATGTTGGTTGTGACAGAAGTTTTACATATTTTTTTGGTTCCTCTCTATCCACTATATCACTTTATGGATGGATAATTAGCACAAAATATTTTTAACTTTCAATGTTATTGTACAAAACGTACTTATATTTCATTTTTTATCATTTTCAATCATATTTTCACATTTCATTGCGAAAAAATGTCATTTTCGTTCAATTTCTCAATAAAAAAAATGTAAAATGACAAATATATTATCCTATCTAAATTAAAAAGAAAAAGAAAAGAAAAGAATAATTAAAGAACAAATTACAATTATACTGCCAAACTTTTTAAAAAACTAAAAATAAGTCCAAATAAATTATTAAAATGATAATTAATACAAAACGTCATTGTCTTTCAATATTATTGTACAAAATGTGCTTACCTTTCGTTTTATGATATTTTCACCCTTATTTTTACATTACATTGCTAAACCATCATTTTCATCTATTTTCCCAACTAAAAGTTGTAAAATGACGAATATACCCTTCTACTTAAATAAAACAAAAATAGAGAAAAAAAATAAAGAACAAATTGCAACTATTATTTTAATAATTTATTTAGACTCATTTCCAATGTTTTTAAAAGTTTGTCAGTATAATTACAATTTATTCTCTAATTTTTCTTTTCTTTTTTAGTTTTATTTAAATAGGAGGATATATTTGTCATTTTACATTTTTTTAAATTGAGAAATTGGATGAAAATGACATTTTCCATAATGAAATGTGAAAATAGGGATGAAAATGTCAAAAAATGAAAGGTAAGGACATTTTGCACAATAACATTGAAAACTAAGAACGTTTTGTGCTAATTATCCCTTTTATGAACTGATCTTGTGGTTTGAAGTATTATTCAATTAATACATTTAAATGTTGAATTTTATCTAGCGTTGGATTCTAGAGTTGTGTTTGGTTGGATTTTCTTTAAAGATCATGGGTCCAAATGGATAAATAGCCCTAAAATCTTTTTATGAGTAACCAGACTGCAGAAGTGGAGAGCAAAATCTTATTCCTCTTACGGAAGTTGAAGAATTGTGTTAGAGTACTTTCATTATCCTTATATGATGTAGAATTCCTGCCTCAACTTACTCTTTATAAGACCCTTTTTGGAGTTCTTCAATAATTTTACTAGACCAGACATCAGCTTTGTAGTTAACCGATTTTTCCAATCATGCAGTCGCCAAGCATTACACATTGCAGAGCTATTGAAAGAATTCTTGGATGCTTAAAAACCTACAATCTCTTCTGGTTTGTCTAGGCATCATGTTGCTGATTTCAATCGTCTAGTTTAAACTATTACAGATCGAGCTAGCTAGCTTGATTATCATAAGAGCATGTGGTTTGCCCCTTCTCAAGTCTTAATATTTGGTCTTCTACTAAGCAAAGAGTTGTATTCCACTGCAGTATTGAACTAGAATTTAGCAAACTAGCCAATACAGCTGCAAGAATTACTTGGCTTGAGTCCATCCTTTGTGAACGTCAATTGAAGCTTCGTTATGGTGTACCTTACTCTTAGACATCCTGGCAGTTGTGTGTCAATAACCCGCAATCTTGTTCTTCGTAACATTTATTGCATGTATGTTAATCTTGTTGTGTTCTAAACTTATTATAAATTTTTCAGGACTATAACAAGCAACTATTGTCTAATTTTTAACTACGCAATTAAATAATGTAATGAGAATAAAAATTAATAAAGAAGCGCAAGAATTAACTAAACTACTAGTATTAAATTAAAATAAATAAACAAAATGGTTCATCTCATCAAATACAAAAAGGGATCTTGGCTAACATGATTTTATGTAAATTACAAGAATAATAATAATAAATAATCATCCAGATCATGAAAGAGTGCAAAAGATATTGATCTTCAATTCCAATGTTGAAATCTTAAATTTCTTAATGTAATTAGCATTCGATCCTTGCTAGGTTTTGATACTCTCTTCCAAAATATGTAAATTCACATCTTGTCCTTAATGAATTTTATGATATAGATGTGTATTGAGAGGCTAAAGTGAGATTCCTAAAGATTTGCCCAAATTTAGTATTTATAGATGCCAAAATCAGGTCAAAATCGCATCCAAATCTCAATTAAAGAAGAATTTCAATTAAATCCACGTCCCTGGAATTATACCGAGCGGCTGGCATCTCTTTGATTTCGGTAAATAACAAAGTGAACCAATGCGAGTGCTTCGACTTTTGTCCTATGCCATGTAACTTTTGGTTACTTGCAATTTGGTCTCCTAACTTTGGATTTCCTCCATTTTCGCTCATTTTGTCCAATTTACCCATCAAATAAAATTAACACATAATTAACTTATAATTCATCAAAATCAATAACAAATACCTTGGTTTAGTAGCTCAGATAAGTGTACAAAATACACTTATCAATCGTTCATATCAGTACCTAATATATAAAAATAGCAATGTTCTAAAAAGCACGTTTAGACGTAAAATGCTTTGCCTTGACACTAAGGCAAACAACTATTAAGTTGACCGCATAATGTGCACAGGCTTAGGCACGCTCTGTTATTTATTTATTTCCTTTTTAAAAAACTTTAGTTTCAAAATTTTAACTGACTTTAAAATGGTTTTATCTGAGAAAGATATAGATGAGATTTAAGCTACGATGCTATTTATATTATATAATTATGATTTTGAAACTCATCATTTTGTTGACAACTTCAAAAGTATGTATGAATTCCTATAAATCTATGATGTATAACTTGTCTATTTGAAAATTGAAACTATACAAAATTAATATAGTTTTTGCTTTTCATAAACTTTGAATTTGTATAATTGACTAATTGTAGGAATTATTAAGTAAACATAATATTTTATAATTTTATGTTTGATATGTATTATTTAAATTATTAGGCCCTTGTTTAACAATACTTTCCAAACTCTTTTTCCTACATATTTAATTTCAAGCACGCATTCATATTATAAATTATTCTACACTTAAACCAAAAAAATTTCTATAACCAAGTATTCTCCTAAAAATCACTATTTAAAATTCTTTTCCTGAAAAGTATGTTTATCAAACAGTGGTAAAATAATTTTTTAAATGATTAAATACTTAAAATAATAACAATAATAAGTAACTTTTTTAGACCAAGCTTTCGCCTAAGATCGTAAAGTTTGAAACTTGATTTCTACGCTTAACCAAGCTTTAAACTTTTTAAAACACTGAAAAATAGACTGCAATTTTCTGAGAGATGGAGTCTTATTCGATCCTTTCTAGTCTGCCATACACCATCTGAAGACCAGGTAGCTGATGCAATAACAAAGGCTCTTCCAACACAAAGGTTGCTCACCTTGGAAAGCAAGCTCACTATGCTCCATTTAAATTTGATGGGAATGTTAAAAATATAGTATTTGGTGTTAAACTATATTAGAAAAATGTATAAATATTGAAAAATGAGAATTTCATTACAATATCTTTTATTTATAACATTTTTTCTTACTTCGTATGAAAGTTACTATTAAGTGATTTTCATGACTTATTGTGGGCTTTTTAATTATAAGTAATTTTTTATTTTCCATTGTATTTTTCCCTTAGAAGTGATTTTTTGGTTACAAGTTACTTTAGATTTTTCTTAAAATTAACCTTTCAACTTGTCAGAATTATAAGTGAACTTTTTTATTAAGTAATTTTTTACTTATATGCTAATTATTTACTCATAAATATTCTTTTTTATTTATAAACAGTATTTTACTAAAAGTTAATTTTGTTAACCTATATGTAAGTTTTTACTTATAAGTGAATTGATTAAATGTGATAAAAGGTTCGTAACACACGAACGAGTGCTTGTTAGAATTTCGATCGAACGGACGTACCAAAATTTAGAATCCACCAAATAATAGGAAAAATTAAAAAATCTAATTAATCATAAAAATAAATATTTTGTTTTAACACCTATTTAAAGACTAAAATAATCAAATCAAATTGAAAATCTAATATTATAGATAAAACCAAATGAATAAGGAAATTGCAAAACAAATCCAAATTAAACTAAAATATTGCAAAAATGACGAAAATATCATTAAACTAACTGAAAACCTAAAAAGTTAAAAAGGACTCTTGAATGAAATAATTTGACCCCCAAAAGTTAGACAGCATGATCTAACAAAAATGTGCAGAATCGAGAAATGCTTTCGAATTGTATTCACACAAAAATCCAACAATCGAGTTGAAAGTTATGAACATTTTCGTAGGTCTTCCTTATTTCTATTCTTTTCCAATTAATTTTTGATTTTCTTTTTGAACTATTCCGCATTGTTCCTTCTCACATCAAAACAACTTGAACCTGAGTTGTCATCAGCATATAAAAGCTCATTGGAGAAAAACTCACTAACTGAATTTGTAATAGCTAGGAAAGCTTTCCTTTCTACTTTAGAAGCTTTTTGTGCCCTCTATGTTGGTGCAATTATAATCTTTTTATCCTTCTATTTATACTTGTAGGTATTCTCTTTATCCTCATTCACAGCATCCATGTCAATCTGCCACAATCTACTCAATAGTATATGACATCCATCCATCTCAATAATATCACAAATAATTTCTAATTTGTAAATAAATCGCCATTGACAAAGGTATCTTGCAAATTCAAGTCACCTAAATAGACGGATGCTTCTTAATCCAACCAATCTAATAAGAAGTTGGATGTCGTTCTATTGGCAATTTCAGATGATCCACCAGGTTCTTAGCGATCAAATTTCCACAACAAGTTTCGCTATCTATGATCAAACTACAAACAATACCACTGACTTGGCACTTAGCTTGAAAGATCTTCCTAAGCTAAGTCAATTCTTCATGCTTGGATAAACAAAAGATTTTATGTACAATACACACAAAATTTCCTTGTTCTTCTTTACAAAGTTCATCAGTGTATTCTTCATTTTCGGCTTCCTCATTTTCTTCATCTCCAACATATTCTTGATCTTCATCATCTAAACTCACATAGAAACAAGGAACCTCTGCTTTGACTTTGCAACCATCATAGTCATCATGACGACCATGATAATGAACTGGAACCGAAACTGGTGTTTTATCTACATGAACAACAACTTGAACATGTTCAACAAGTGGTTGTTGCCTAGGACTACTTCCTCCAAGATACAAGATAACCAATATGTCCTTTGGTTGATTGCGTATTTCTTGTAAGTTAGTCTCAATCGTCTCAATTCTTACCTAGTCTCAATCTTCTCAATTCTTACCTCTAAGGCCTTACTTTGATTGTATGCCATCACTTTGATGCCACCTGACGCAGGATGGAAATGTGAAGAATAATATAAGGCTCTTGTTCATAACTCGCCATTAGATGTTTGTTCGAATTTCGTTTAAACGGACGTGATAAATATTTAGAATCCACCCAATAATGAAAAAAATAAAAATATCTTATAAAAAAAAAATAATGTTTTGTGTTCAAACCCTTAACACCTATTTATAAACTCAAAACAAATCCTAATCAAATTGTAAATTTAATTCCATAGATAAATCCAAATAAACTAGAAAATTGCAAAATAAATTTGAATAAAATTAAAATATAGTAAAAATGACGAAGATACCTTTAAAATATCTGAAAATGTTAAAACGGACCCCTAAACGATAGAATTTGATTGCTTTGATAAAAATGTTCAGAATCCAAAAACGCTTTCAAATTATACTTAGATAAAATTCTAACAATCTGGCTGAAAGTTACGAGTGTTTTCGGAGATACTCCTTACTTCTTCTCTTTTTCAATTGATCTATGATTTTCTCTTCAAACTATATCGCATTAAAAGGAGGATAAGCATAAAGCATCCGGCAATTCGGGTACTAATCATACCAAACATCAAGCGAGGATTAGATAAAATTATTAATCCGTATCAAGTGTAATAAGATGCATCCAATGTGCTGTATGGCCATCATTCCAAAATTCTTCGTTCATTTAAATTTTCATGATCTTATAATCGTTAGTAATTCTATGGGGATTGGACTTGGCTGATCGAATTGCACTATGAAATGATGGTGAAAAAAAATTTAAAAAAATAAAAATAAAAATTATTAAAAAATTATAATTCAATAATCTGATTACAATAAGACCGACAAAAACAAAACATTGCGAGATCGTAGCGGAATCCTGTCTGCGCTAGAATCCAAAAGCATTTCATTAATGAAATTGGATTTATCCAACATGTTTCTCGCAAAGCAAAAGAAGTTGCCTATAAAAAGGGAAGTCCAAAACCCAGAAATACAAGAGAGTCGAAATTTCCAGCGAAAACCCAGCCTGCAGCAAGCCAATGGCAGGATCGGAAAGTAAGGGGCTTCCTATGATTGATATGCAAGATTTTCCTGGGCAACTAGCAAAGTTGATCGAGGCATGTGAAGAATGGGGATGCTTCAGAATTGTGAATTTTCAAAATTTTGTTCCACAATCACTTATGCAGGATATGAAGGGTGTAATCAGATCATTGCTCGACCTTCCAATTGAAATAAAAAGGCGAAATGTGGATGTGATTGCTGGAAGTGGGTATATGGCACCCAGCAAAATTAATCCACTTTATGAGGCTCTGGGACTCTATGATATGGCCTCTGCTCAAGATGTTGATGCCTTCTGTACGCAGTTAGATGCAGCCCCTCACCAAAGGTTTGAAAAAATATATTTTTTTTAAATTTATTGAATTTTTTTCTTCTTGTTTATCATATTCAAGGTTAAAGGCATAATTTAAATAAATAAATTTGTCATTTTTCTATCAGTGTAAGCATTTAAATTAGGCGTCTCATCACGGTATGAAATAGGCAGAGGTCATGAGTAAAGTCTTGTCGCTACTCAATTGTGAAAATTGTGTACCGCCTGTATGCGGGATGCATTGAAGACATAATTAAAAGATAAGTTCATTAACGTTTCTGATAAGGTGGTTCATTTATAATTGATTAGTTCTTGGGGCTTTTTCATTTTTTGTTGTTCCGGGAGAAGCAGATCAATATATATATGATAATGATATGTAGCTTACCCTTTAGACCTTTTTGAAGAAGGTTCCCGAATCAATATGAAATACTAATGTAATAGAATAAGGAACATTCTGATTTCATTGAAGTTACTATCGAAGCTCCATCTAAAAATGGATAAGACCGATCTCAGTGTATAGGAGCGAGTTGTTGAAAAAAATGCAACTCTTCCATCTTGGTCTACTGTGGAGTTGATTTGTAGGTAAACTTTGCCGTGTAATTGTTGCAGTTTCGATGACATTAAGATTAATTAGAAATAATTTGGTAGTCACCGTTTTAATGATGAATAGGAATAGGAATGGAAACTGTATGGATTGTGCGTAAATTGCAAAAAAAAAAGGGCTTTCTTTTGTACATTTTCGTTGAAGTTTGTTGTCTATTCATTTGCACTTGAACAAGGATGGAATTCTACCAGCAGATGACCAGAAAATCTCATCCATCAAAAAGCTAAGTTATATTAAGTTATGGTGAGAACTCATGCAAATTTAACAAGAACTTCTGAACCTTCCAATGAACAGATGGAAAAAATCCTTGTAAACTATTAACTTTTGATCATATATTTCTATTGCTGTGAGAATTTTTATGCTTAGTCCATGATATCTGTCTGAAATATAATCGCCACTATTCTCAAATTTGTACTTTTATTTTCTTCTGTTATACCTATTTGTACATTCCTCCCTCTTTCAGAACTTTGCATTCTCCCCAGGTTGTGTGAATAGTTTTCTTATACCAACTGGTTAATAATGTAGTGAAAATGAAGAAGAATTATCATATATCGATTAAAAAGCCTGCTTGTAGCCATTTTGAATTCAGGTTACAAGGATAGATGTAAATGCAGGATGAACAATATGTGCGGCTTTTTAGTGCTAAGCTTCATCAGGTAGGAAGCATTAGGTACAATTTTCTGCAGCATACCTTTTCAGAGGTTTTTTTAGCATTAAGGTATTTGAACTGTTGCTTCAGATCTTACTGTACATCCAGCAATGATCTGAACCGAGTGGCAAATAAACCGACCCCAAGTTTATTATGAAATAGGCTTAGTTTATTGTTATTGTCAAAGGTATATTTGAAGATTACTTACTGCTCGCGTTGAAATGCTATCATTTTCAGGCAGACAGTTTTAAGATATGCTAGGGCAGTGAATGAACTTATGATGGATATTGGGCATAAAATCGGAGAAGGGCTTGGTCTGAAAGGTATTCCGTTTAAGGGTTGGCCTTGCCAGTTCAGGATTAACAAATACAACTTTACCAATGAAAATGTAGGTTCCTCTGGTGTACAACTACACACAGACTCCAGCTTTCTTACTGTTCTACAGGATGATGAAATTATTGGTGGTCTTGAAGTAATGAGAAAATCAGGCACATTTTTTGCGATTGATCCCTGCCCGGAAACTCTTCTTGTCAACCTTGGAGACATTGCAGCAGTAAGAAAATCCTTTTACCATCTGTCATTGTTGTGATTTTCATCCTTTTACTATCTGTCATTGTTGTGATTTTCATCATATTAAACAACATCTTATACAAAAAACTAAGAGGTACGGATATAGGCATCATTTTTCCATCATTCATTTTGTTCTTTGCTGTGTACTAGAAGATATAAAGCAATTAGATCCTTTATGTTGGCAATGAGTAGATGGAAATTCCACATCGTCTAGACATAGGGATAGTCTTGGGTTGATAAGGGGATTGTGCTACTACGCCAAATAAACCAATTTTTTTTGTATGGAACCCAAGGCCCCTACACTTGTGAAATCAAGAGAGATAAGTAAGAGTTACTTAATTGTGGATGGAAAAGTTTCTGATTGAGGGAGTGTTGAGTTGTGACAAGCTATATAACTATTTTGGGATAAAATCTCATATCTAATAAAGATGAAAATATAGACCAACGTATAAAGAATGGGGTTATTCCTCTTAATAAGGTTTGACTTTTTAAGATGGAACTCCCAGTCTTAATACGGTATCAGAGCCCATTAAACATGTTAAGGGATAAAATCCCACATGGAATAAAGATAGAAACATAACCAGCTTTTAAAGAATCGAGCTACTCTTCTTTATAAGTTGACCTTTTAAGATAGGATCCTAAATCTTTATAATAACAACAATGATCTATATTGATTTCATGTAACCCCCTTTTTTCTAACCTGTTTTACTTGGATTGAAAGCCTTTTTAGGTCTAGGTACACAATTCCAACCATCTAAGTCGTGCTTATTCACATTCTGGTCATTTACTGCAGTACTGTATAACCACTTATCTATCTTTATATCCTCACATCCACTTTTTGTGTTCTACAATAAATCTTATAGTTAATTTTATGTTTGCCTGTAAAGGTATGGAGCAATGGACGATTTTACAATGTGAAGCATCGAGTGCTATGCAGGGAAGCAGGAATAAGGTTGTCAATCGCTTCATTTCTCTTAGGACCAAAGGAAGGAATGGTGGAAACACCAGCAGAACTAGTGGATTCTGAACATCCTCCTCTCTATATTCCTTTTACTTACGAAGAATTCAGAAAGCTTCGAGTCTCTAAGAAGTTACATACTGGTGAAGTTCTTGATCTTTTACGAGTACAATCCTAAAAATTAATTTAAGCAACGTTCATTGTTTCTGGTACTTCTCTACAAGAAAGTATCAGAGTGAATGTGGTTTGGCTCTTCTACTAGCTGCAGTTATTTTTGACATTATGCAGATTAATTACGGTATTCCTGAGACAATTATTGCTCTTATTTTCTCTAAATAATAAAAATAATGTAAACAGGGCGTGAATTGTCTTAATCTTAAGCTTTATGGCGTTTACGTGGTGATTTTCTTCTTAAATTTCACTTCGAGTTTGTTCTACACGAAAAAATCTCATTATATCAAATTGAATCGAATTTGATTCTTAGACCCAACATTTGGGAGAAAAAGTCACAAGTTTACACTGAAAATTAGGATGCTTGGAACTGAGGATAGGAAGAAAACTAAGAAGTAACCTCAATATACTAATATGGTTCTGAAGTTTTGTTTAGATCAAACCTTAAGTTACCACTAGCAGTCCAAAAGGTTCAAATTTTCTTTCCTAAATGTATATAAATTTATGTTCAAACATATGCATGAATTTATTGTATGCAATTCAGGAATTTCAAATTTTAGGCATCCACAAGTGGTGAAAACGCACAGATCTAAGCGTTGGCTGTCCAATAAATTTTGTTGGAGACCATAATAACTCGGCATGGTTGATTATGTTAGGCTAACTTGACAAAGTGAGTCAAATCTATTGAGTTGAAGAATTCTTGCAAGGTTGTCTCTCAGCGTTCATGTACGTGTTGTCTTGTTGCTATCAATTTTATTATCCCTCAAGTGTATGGATTGTTACCAAGTAACAAAGTGGACCTAGAGTCCAAATATCTATCCCGCGAAAAATAAGTATATAGCATGAAAAATAAGTATATAGCATAGTTCTAAATTAATCCAGCACTAATCGAATATAGACAGACAATTAATTAGGTGATATGGTGATTATATTAACAACCTAACTTAACTAAGTGGTAGGAAGCATTATGAAACTTAATTGAACAAACACTAGTACCCTGTATCTGCTTACATTCATTCATCTTCCATCAATTCCACAATTTGGCAATTATTATTTAATATGAAGATTAATGTTCCTAATTTATAATTATTTCGAGTAGAATTAGATTATCTCATATGTGAGCCGACAATATTCCTTCAAATGCAAACACGCGAAAATATATTATTTCACAAGAACATCATTTGGAGCATACAAAGCATGGATCTTAAAATGAACATTATTACATGATATCTTCCTACAATAATGCTATATAGCCACATTCTTTGACACAAAGAATGACACAATGATGTGGAAATTGGTTTTTTTTAAAAAAAAAAAAAAAAGAGAAATGAAAGGAAATGGCGCAAGAGACCAATTTGTTCGAAATTTGAAATTTTTAAAACCATTGCTTCGACCTGGCCCATTTTTTAAACCCGTTTCTCTGTTTAAAGCCCATTCCAGTCGTATTTTCACTTCGGCCTCCCATTTCAGCTCACAACGCTCGTCATTTTGCCATAAATGTTACTAAGCGGCTGTTCGATTGGTACCGATTACCAGAGAGCTTAGGTGAAACTCCGTCGAAAACCATGGTTTCAATGTTGTCGAAATACTCAGTGTTTCAATTCTGAGACGGCCAGCCACTTCTCATTGATTCGTAGTTGCTACTACAAATCTTCTTCGACCACATCTAGAGAAATCTCATGTATATAAGTATCAAGTTCATGTTTCAATAAATTTGTCGAAATATCCTGTGGATCGCTCTGTTTTGTTTAATTTTCTCTGAAACTATGAAGAAGTGGTCCATTCATAACCGTAAATTTCAAAGCATTTGTTTTAGATCCTTTTATCTTGCCTCTCTTTCATTTAGGGTTTGTTTTAAAATGCCAATTTCTCTACAGTGATGTAAATTTCTCTGCAGCAGATATGTGATTTTATGATTTCCCAATTTTTACTTGTACAATGGAGATTATGTTTGGAGTACGAAAGATGGAAACTTGCAGTAGTCCCCCCATAGACGAAATTGTTTTTCTTACACAGATAAGCATAAACCAGTTAAATTAGTCTTTGTTAACGTATCCTTCACTAGATAAGAACGGGAGGACCCCTATGGCTGAGAAGGAGGGAGTTAAAGGCTCTTTTCTTCTGTGTCATTCGGTTATTATCCAGTGAAGACTAGACTTCCTGTAATGTGCTATTTAGCTTCCATCCTACATGAGGTATTAATCAATGATCAATTTGTGGGGGATATGTTGCCGAATTCTATTAAAACAGCTAATTGAATTTGACAACTTTCCTTCTTTGCATAAGTAAAAAGGAAGCTCAAGTTTGTGGCTGAGAAGATATTTCTTTAGTTCTACTTGTTATGCTCTAAGATTTGATAATTGTTTAGAAGTGATCTATTTCTCTGATTTTATATAAAACCAAACCACATGTTTCCTGCAGACAGAGAGAGATTACTTTATTTGCTTTTGTTAATTCATTTCATGTTTTGACTGAGGGAGTCTGCGATTATCATTTTGTTTGGTGTTTGATTCCCAGGTTAAAATGAGAGGGAAGAATTATAGAGTATGCCATAGTTGTAGATTGAAGGGACATTTTTTCACGGAATGCCCGAATAAATGACCTTGCCCATGGTGTAAACATGCGTTTTTGAAGTGCTTCAGGGTGGAGAAGAACACGGACAACAAAGGCAAACCATTCGAAATGTGCAGCGTGAAATGTGGTTATTGGGAGTGGGTGAAAAAGAAGGAAACTGGTGCTGAATCGAGTTCAGTCACCAGCACTCAGGATTTGTCTTGCATGTTCGAAACACGATGCCGGTTAATTGGTGATCAAGACATGGAGATTGCTATGAACATGACTATACGCAAACGAGGAGAGCACGTCACCAAATGGGAGAAGAATGGACAGTCGTCGGCCTGAGCTAAAGTTTATTCGTTTCGAGTGAAATTGTAACTCCAATTATGTAAATGAAATTGTCTAGGCTGTAATATAACTAGTGTTCCAATGTTGTTCGCTTGAATCTATTATCTTGTGTGAACCATGTTTAATTGGGAAGTATGAAGCCAAAAGTTTGGAATTGATTCCACACAGTCACCACACCCACACCCCCCATTTTCCTCTTTAGCTGTGCAAATCGTTGCTTGCGAGTATTATTATTATTATTATTATTATTATTATTATTATTATTATTATTTTTGCATTTTGTTGTTCAATTGCATTTTTTTGGCAATTTTGTTGTTCAATTGCATTTTATGCATTTTTAGCAATTTCAATACATATGTATATTACTCTGTCGAGATAGTTTCAAGAAGACAAGATCCATGTAAAATTAATGCATTTCCACAACTTGATTTACTCACTAATTTTTTTACCTCAGATCAACCAAAATGAAAACCCTTGTAACAATATAAATAAGTTTAAACCAATTATTTCCACCAAGAAATACTTGTACCAAATTGTATTACCATGAGTTCCAACACCAAGTCTGTCTTCGTATTAACAGCAAATTTCAGTAATCTCACCAAATTATAACATCACCAAGTCTGTCTCCATAATATAGGTACTCCCCAAACCAAGTGAAAAATATGAATATATTTGATTTTAAACAAAAATAAAAACCCAACCTTCACAGCATATTTCACACATGTATACAATACACAAAGAATAAAAGACCAAAATTAACACCCAATACTAAAATACACAAAGAATGAAAGACCAAAATTAACACCCAAAATGATTTCCCAAGCATGATATAGATGTCAACCAGAACTTGTTTATAAACATTTGTAAAAACCAATACTGGGGAACAGTGCTATCCTTCTGCCAGTATACACAACACTACTTAATGGTTTAACATCCAAGAGGAACATCTTAGTACATTAGATTTCTTCATGATTCATACAAACCCATGCAAGTACACAATGATGAGAAAACTACAAACTTTTGAAATGCAACCAATATACTATACAAGACAACCAATAGGTGCATCTTTTGGGTTTGATAATGTGATAGACGGTCCAACTTCTGTAGGTGCATTCGTGTTTCCTCCATCAAAATGCATTCCCAGACCTACAAATGTCAAATCCACATAAGATAGTTTACTAGATGTTAATAAATATACATAATGAACAATGTTTGCAAAGCACTAAGTTGTACATAACAACTATTCACCTTGCATATTTAATGTAAGAGTTGTTGCCGATGAAGGGTTTAGACACGTGGATTGCAAGTGTTGTGTGAACTGAAGATTTTGGTTCCCACCCTGCGTGAAATAGCATTATCGATAAATAGTACATTATCATTGAAATCAAATGATTAAAAAATGCTAACCAAAAGGAGGTTCGTATAGGAGAACGGTAGCGACATGTGTAGTTGTTGAGGCGATGGAGAATGGGCGTTGTAACCATTCTCATATTACTTCTAGGAACCTTCGTTTTCTTCCCTTTGGTAAAACTCGTACTTGCTTGCAAAACAAGGAATGTTGTTAGACATTATCTCTATAGTGAGTTCGCAAAAATTGGAAATAAGCAACATTTGAGTATTACCTTAACTTTGCTCCAAATGGTTTCCAATAGGCTCTTTTTCCGAAGTTTTTTTGGGGCACCTTTTCTTTTCACACATTCTGGATCCCTTATGTTACCACTTCCAGTATCCTGTGGTGCTCCACATTGGAATGATGTCCGAGTCGCATAGGGGAGAGGACATTACTATTACCAAGATTTGTTTCCATCATCTCTTGACATTGACCGTCAATCCAATCAATTATTGCATCAGATTTTGCTTCATCTTCTACTGTCAGATTGGCCATAGTAGCAAAGCGTTGACACATTTTGTCGTACTTCAATTGCCCTGGCGTAGTAATTAACGTGCCTGCATTTTAGAGAAGTATGATTGTAGTGCTGATGCGTCCCCTTGTCCAAGTCTTAAATGCCTAACTTTTTCAATATAGTTACGACAATCCTTCTCGATGCAACTCAAATTCTCATACCCACCTGCTTCAACAACTATAGAGTTGAAGCTCTTGTGTAATGGAATTCCTGCCATGTCATTCACTTCGAGTCTTCGTTTAATATGTGCACTCAACTCTCGGTTGCATCGATGTAGCCTAGACTTCGAAGGGCTTGTCTTATGATTGTAGTCTAGATGTAGCTTGTTAATCTTCCATATTCCACAAACATCTTTGGATGCGCAGATCATGGCTTTACATCCACTCTACATGTTGCTTGCGATTTCAAACAACTGCTTGTATTTTTTTATCCTTTTCCTTTTACAGCTACAAACAAATATAACATTTCTCAAAACTCTATCATCATCCTTTACCGAATTTCGTTTCCTAACCGGGAAACCAATTTCGTATGCATATCTTTTGTACAAATCGGAAAATTTCATTTTCATCCTTAAATTTCATACCCGGCTCGGGCACAATCACACCATCTCCAACTAACATATCATCACCCGCTATGTTCATAATATCCACAACATCCTCATTATCGGACTCCACCGATATAATTTCATCCACATATTCCGAAATTTCTTTCCCTTCATCAAACAAATTAATTAACATGTCAAATAATTTATGTAACTATAATTCAAATAGAAACTACTTAGATCACGGTGGACTACAATGCAAATAATCATTTGATCAATTTCTATGGAAATTCACTGGCTATCTAATTTAATGATTGTGCAGTCTACCTACTCATATCACAATGTAAGACCTTCTATCAGTAACCAAGTCAACAAACTGTAAAGAGAGAAAATCACATAACAAATCCCCTAATTCCAAACGGTAAAGAAGGAAACCAATACCTTTTTCGGTCATCTCTCGGCCAAAAAATGTTAGGTTCGTCTAGTTCTGGAGTCTTTCCCAATGCCAGCCTTCTTCATTCAATTTAGCACATGCAGACGACGCAATCAACATGTTAGAAATTTGGATTTACAAAATATGCATAATAAACTGATGTTCACGAAGGGAACTAAGAAGCAGACCAATCCGCAACCCCAAATATGGGTCACGGTCTATAAGCTATTTACAAAATCGCGCAATCAGCCTATAAGCATCTTATTACCATGAAATATTAATCAAATACCTATTGATTAAGATTCTTGAAGAACAACGAAATGGGTTTCTCTACCAGCCACTGTAGTTGGGTTTCTCTTCCAGCCAAAATAGGTATTTCTCATGCGTCATGTACAAGAGAGAAGAGATGCAGTTGGATCTGGTAACAAGATCGCACCATTGCAGTCGGCTGAGGTCTGAAGATCGAGCCAAAATGAGGACGAAGAGTTCTTGCGCCAAAGACCTAGAAGCAGGTTTTAATTCGAAGTGAAAATGCATATGAAATGGGCTGATGGGTTTTAACAAAGAAACAGATTTAAAAACTGGGCCGGGTCGAAGCAAAGGTTTTAAAAAATTCAAATTTCAAACAAATTGGTCTCTTGCGCCATTTCCTTTCATTTCTCTCTTTTTTTTTCTTTTTCTTTTTTTTAAACAATTTCCACCTCATTGTGTCATTCTTTGTGTCAAAGAATGTGGCTATATAGAACAACGATAAGCCACACATCAATTCAATTAGTAACTAATTAATGAAAAGCATACAGATCATAACAAGCATTTAACATCAAACTATTGTCCAGTGTTAAAATATAGAATTAATATCAAACTTTCATAAAGTAAGGTTCAACGTTATCCTAACGTCAGCTACGACTAGCCTAGAATCATAGTATTACAAGAACACAATATTAAATGATATAACATCACCCCAAAAATTGAAGTTTTGAAAGAAATATGGAAAATGGTCTTTATTTTGAATTCCTTCAATGTTTCTTGATTCTCTTCTTCAGTCTTCTTCCACTTCTTCAAATCTAAGCAATTGATGTAAGAAATATGTAGGAATAGGGTCTTGCAACAAAAGTTTCTTCAAAACTTTCCAAAAAAGAATAATGGGATTTTGTCTCTCAATGGCTCTTTCTCTATTTGGGATGGATGGAATATATGGAGCCTCCTAGCTTCCTATCCTTGTTTGTAGATGAAAGAACATATTTATTAATTTATAGGATAACAGTTATGTAAAAATCCGTGCCTCAATTGATTTCCAAGACGTGGTTGTTCAAGAAAATGAAACTATTTTTCTGCAGAAAATTCAACTGTGCAATCGCACTGCAGTACAAAATTAAGTACTGCTTCTGTAAATTAAGTTGGTGCAATCACACCCCTTTTGGTTTTAGGCAGATTATTTTGGTCCCAAAAAATTTTATCTTTCGTCCAGCTTGAGTGATTTTTTCTCTGCACATTTAGTTCTTCATATTTAAATCATAGTAATTTAGTCCTTATCATTCATCAATCATCTGTAGTCAATCCGACGTAAGTTCCAAGAGTTTGCACTTTAATCCCCAAACTTTCCAAAAATTGGGTTTAGCTGTCGAAACTTGTGAATCACATCTGATTGTTCCATTAAATTTTTCAATTAATCAATTGCAATTCAACTGATCATCAATCGCTCCTAATCAATTCCAATTATGCGCCAAAAACGCCTATTTCATGCTGATTGCATCCAAGTGCACTCATATCAAGGATTTACCTATAATTATCGTATTTACACCTAATTTCGTAGATATTTACTCAGTAAACCATAAATAGTTAAGTAAAGAAGTCAAAATAAGTGCAAGGTGTGGGAAAATAGAAGGTTCTGCAAAGTGAAGAATTGTGCAATATGCAGGGAAGGGACGAGGATGTTAATGGCTACATTCCTATTAGTACACAGGAAGTATGATATTTCATTTTGTTATTGAACAAATTCAACAGCTAAAACAGGATGACACAACTTTTGGAGCAAAACATTAAGCATTTATGGTTGATATATTTATGTATTTTTACTCCTAGTTTCTTTGTTGATCGAATATCAATGGTTTTGTATATTTAAAAATTCTTCGAAATCTCACTTTCTTTCTTTATTAAGCATATCCATCTTTGTTTAACTTTGCAAATGGCACAAAATATGACATGTCAACCATGTACGTACATTGCAGGTATAACATTCAATTACAATAAATACAAGTAACATCCTATGAAATGTCCAGTGACTATTCGTCTTTCAAGTCAACTTTGTATTACACCACCAATATCAATGTACACGGACTATTTCTCCTTCCATTTGTTCTCTTAACGAACAAATCAAAGTAAAAAAGATGACAACAGACTCCAAAGAACATGATATCAAACAAATGTCTCTACAAAATGGGACAGTATGCACAGTGGTAACAGATTCTTTTTGTTTCTAAAAGAAACTACACCAAGGAGTCTGTGTATCCAGTATAGTTCTCCATGCTCAGATCCTGTGGACTCCAACCTGAGCCGAAATGTGAAGTTGTCATTGATGTCGTATTCACTGAACTCGAATCTATATCTGTGGATTCAACAGCTGGCCACACAAAAGGAGGCTTGAACGGTGGAACATTTGGCACTGGCACTGTTCCCAAGATTATGTGAAGTATAGCCTGTGTTTTAGGCCTTTCACTAGCAGTAGGATGTGAACATGCCAACCCCAACAGCAGAAGCCTCTCGGCTTCTTCTGCAACAAATTCGTCACCCAATCTCGGATCTACAGCTTTGAGTAAGCGCCTATCACGATGCAAGAACCAAACCCAATCAACCAAGAGTTGGAAGCCAGCAATCTTGGTTCCGGGACGTATACCACACACCAGTTCCAACAAGACCGCCCCAAATGCAAAGACATCAGACTGTTGTGTGGCTTTCCCAGTGTGGAAACACTCGGGTGCAATGTATCCCATTGTGCCTAGCACTCCCTCAGCCTCGGCATATGAGGTCTTCCCATTGTCAAGAGCCCGTGCGAGGCCAAAGTCTCCTAGACGGGAATTAAAGTTGGAGTCGAGCATGATGTTGCTAGCCTTAAGATCCCGATGTACTACCCTCTGCTCGTACTCGTTATGGAGATAGTGCAAGGCTGAGGCTACCCCAGAAACTATTTTATATCGAAGACTCCATCCAAGTGGCTCTATGTTCGGCTCGGAAAACAGGTGTTTGTCCAGGCTTCCATTGGGCATGTAATCATACACCAGTAGAAGCTTCCCATTCTTGTGGCACCAACCTGTTGCAGAAATAAAAATCAGTCATTCAGGTCTTCCATTCATTTTCTTAAAGCTAAAAATTAAATAGAATAGTAGTCATTTATCATTCTGGACGGGAGATTATATCATAATTGATGTGTCAATTTTTTGTTAACCCTGATAAGCACCTAACCCAATCCCGACGTCCTGTAATTCTCGAGGTGTCTGTATTGAAGACCTTTCCTTGGGATTACTTACCTCGGGTCATGCTTGGGATCCAGTCACTCATGCTGCCGTAGATGAGCTCCATACCTCGCCTATCCCTTTCTCCTTTTTACTCCAGGAGTCACTGACCTATGAAGACTCTACTACCATAGACCTAATCCTATGTGACTACAGCGATCTACAACTCCAACCAACTTATGACGCCCAACTATAACAAAACTCAAGTCCTGTATGACTTTTAAACATGTAAGGCATCCAAGTTACCAAGTAACCCAATCTTGCACTGTCTGTCTTTAAAATTACTGATCCTTTATTCATTATTTATGTACACTTTACATTATTTTCAGTTCTTAGCCTCGAGGACACACCCCGATGCCTTTGTTTTTTCAGGTCTTGAAGATTCTGTTCGTGCTCATCCTCAGTCGTCAAGTTCAATAACTCGCAGTTACAAATTTTTGGTAACATTACTAATAAAATCAGCAAGTCAAAACAATTGTGTCAAATCCATATCTAGGAAAGCCATATAAATCTCTTTTGACGTAGATATTTAAGCACAAAAAATGGCTCAGCAAGGAAGTTAAGAGCTTGAAGTCAGGAGTGCCAGTTTCCCCAAACTGGGCCTAGTAGAAATACTTTTGAACATGAAAACAAAATTTGAACTCATTTTCAATAGCCAGATGTTAATTTAACTATCCAAATATCTCCAACCGGGCACTTTCATGAACAATATTTTTGTTGACCCTTTGCAATTTGAAATGTAAGGAGGAAATGAAAGTCGGAAACAGGAAGTTTCCATTAGCTAAGCCACAGCAACCACCATGATGGGCTGCTGATAAGAAGTCTACCACCACCTAAAAGGTCGTCCAAAAGTGACTTGGTCTCCCTAAGGGACCTTGGCATGCCAGGCAGTCCACGTGATTGAGTTGGTGGGAGGGGCTGTGTTGTGATAAGGTGGATTTTTATGATGATGCATTATCACCATCCCAGAGCTTAAAGGGCTGTTTGTAGAGGATTCTGCCTGAATTGTTATACATATTGAAATCGGCCGAAGCCGAATCTGGAGTCACCTGAAGGGCACCGTTGTTGATAGTAGCAGGCTTTTCAATCACAAAAATATCATGCTGTGTTTGATCGAAAGACCCAAATTGTCGACTGAAAGTATCAAGTTTCTTAGTTGAAACAATGGCCAAAAAACAGCAAAAAACAAACACGGTGGCGCTGAATTTTGCTTTTAGTTTTCCCATTTCATGTATTTGAAAGATGGGTCGGAGGTTTATGGGGCTCTGAAACTACTAACTTGATTGAAGATGGACGATGACTAAGAATAATAAAGGAAATCAGTATACAAATCATTGAAGCAAATGACTTTTCTTTTTATATTATTGGTTGAATAAAATATTATTGAATGGACGCACATTGTGATGGAGAAATCAAGAATGGGGTTTGAAATTTGAACAGGTTTTTACCATTCTGGTACAGCATTGCTTAACTTGCCTCTCTACGATGGGAACCTGAGGCTTGCTAACTCCACCAATCAAGGACGACTTTTGTTTTCCATTTCCCCCTTTTCTTTTGCACTTCTAACTTATAAAAATTCACTTATATGTCAAATTATTCTAAAGAAATTACAACTTCAAGTGATTTTATTATATCTAATAAAGTAGTCATTTGTGACAACGCCAAAAACTCATTCAAATTCTACGTCTAAGAAATCTCGAAGAATTTAGCAGCCAAATTTCATTTTACTTTCATGGTCACAAATTAAGTACAATCGATAATTCACTAGCAAAGCCCACGAAATTAACATGGAATTTAGTGACGAGTTTTGAAGTCAATATTTTATAAAAGAAAGTCGTGAAACCCTATTCCTTTTCCAAACTTTAGAATTAAGTGATTGCTATATTTATTCAATATCAAAGAAAATTATATGATATTGGTTGGTAAAAAGTTAAGTAATATACTAATATATAATGGTAAATGTTTACATTGTAATATATGAATAAATCATAAATTTTACAGCATATTATTGATAACTATTATATTATAATTTAATAAAGTGACATATACGAATTTTGTCTTCATACTTGTTTTAATTTATTTGTTCTTTAATGGTTTTATATGTTTTAATATTTAAATTATCCAATAAAAATGAAATACAAAAATTACTTAGTACTTAAATGCATTAAAGCTTTTGTTAAATTTGTTAGTAAATTATTTTGTATTCATCAATTTGACCCGTTAAATCATGTTACTTTATATTTATATATTTTGAGTATGACAAAGTACATAAATGCATCTTAATATAATGAAGAGTTTGGTACATAATTTGGAATTATATTATGATTTAGAAAATGCAGATATTTGTTCTGTCCATGGATGGTGCTCGTGTCGATGAAATCCACATACACATGGACAGATTCAAGATCAGGCTGCAAGTCGGACTAAAAAAAAGTTAGCCAAAAACATTTTGTTTTACACAAAAAAAAATAATAATAATAATAAATAAAAATAAAAATCACTAAAATGTTAAATGAGCTGGGGGTTGGAGTTGGCTGTGCTACCCCCTTTATACGTCCCTGCACGTGCGGCATATGTAGTCAAAAGCTTGAGTCTTACATTAGGAATCGAACGAATAATCAATAAAAAGTTTCCATACCATGTTTTATTTTAGGTTAAGATAATATTCTCATTTTGGTGACAAGATGCTTAGCATGAATAAGTCAACAAAAATAAAGTCTTTCGATTCTATTTACATGAATTCATTTTTTATTAGTCTATTCAATTTTTGCTATTTTTTAATTTTTTATAAAGAAAATAACAACACTAGATCTTTATCAAATTCGGTGGGCCATTTTCTTTCACTATACTACTTTTTTCAATATTAGAAAATTAAGCAGTATCATGATTTTAAGATTTAATTATCATTTATCAGATCATTAAAAATTATATTCAAAAATCAGGTGTTAATGATATATAATTTTTTTTTAAAATTATATTATCAAGGAATATATGTTTAGACCCCGTTTGGTACACATTAATGTAAGAATAAGAATAAAAAATATAGTCGTTACAGACTCCACACAAGAAATAAAAAGTCAAATATAGTGGCTTGATGTGATGAATAACGATCATATTTTTTATTTTAATGAATAAATAATGAAAAACAAACAAGGTCTTAGTAAGTAATCTCAATTTGAAGGTCACAAATTCTGGAGAGAGAAATTCATATTATCAACAATCATATTTTAAATGATCATTTAACTCGGAATTTTAACCAACTGACGGTTTCATCACAAAAGGACTTAGGCTCAAATAGCGATGTTAATGGACCGAGCCGAGTCGGTTAGGCTCGTTACCCTACGAGCTCGGCTCGTCAAAAAAAAAAAAAGCTCGACCCCGCCC